CATGCAGCCTGGTGCCGGCATTTCGGACGGTTTTACCATATGAACAGGAGAAGCGGAAGTGAAGTTAGACAGTGTCATCGGACAACATGCAGTAATTTATAAATGTTTTAAATGCTTAAAAAGTTGCTCAGGGACCCAGAGTGTCAGCCCGTGGGAGTGGGGCTTGAACTCAGAACCTCTGAATTCAAAGCGCAATGCCCCAACCACTAGGCCACCATACCCCGAATGTCCAAACCTTCTGAAGATTAAGGAGTAATCCACTTTAGGAATATTTTTTGCTTTTCTATTTCAACTGAAAGAAATAATCCCACACAAGTCCTTTTGCTTTCAAAGTTTCGTATCGTAAATGTCTCACACTCACCTTGCTTGTGCTCAAATTAGGGTACATGGATGCGTTGCCTTAATCAACCTGTTAAACTAATAGTATTCTGGCCATCACAATGTTTCCAACCATTGAAAAACGTTTGCAGATTGGATGAATTGTTGACATTGTGAGGGAAAAAAAAAATAAAAATATTAAACTTGTATACTAAATAAATTTGAAGGTTTTAGTGTCAATGTGTTTCCCTACTGACCCTTTTCTACCCATTGTGGAGAAATAATAAAAAAGTATCAAAATCAATCAATCAAAAGAATCCCATGTTACTGCACCTACAAACTTTATTGTAAACTTTAATATTTTTTTTGGGAAAAAATCAATATCAATATATTTGTCTTAAACCATCTAGAGCAAAACTCTTCACTTTCAATTTATTCTATCTGTGAATCGTACATAATCAGCTTTGTCACTGATCAAAGTACAGCCGGTGCATTAAAATGATAAGCTCAAAACAAACTAAGACTACCAAAAACAAAGCTTGCCAATAAACATAAATACTCAGAAGGATAATTTCATATCAGGGCAAGTGGACACATACCCATACCCTAACTAGATAAAAAGTGGAATCCTGCATAACCCAACAGAGGGCCAAAAACCTCCAATACCTTAGAACCCATCCAAGATCTCAACCAACTCTCCAAATTTAGCCCAGACCTTTTTGGATTTCACTTAAGTTTTGGACATAGATAAATCTGTGTATAAATATATCTTCTCTACACAACCCATATCCCCATGCTAAACTAGTGAACCAGTGTTCTCCAAAAGCTGCACAGCCTCCACACCTATTATTTGTCTTCTGTTTTCCTTTGTGACATACTTTTGGCCCCAGTGGTCACTCTTATTAATGATAATTTCCAGGAGAAACCTGGGTCCTTAATGGAAGATAATTGCAAAATGTGCGTGCTAGTATGTGGCAGAAAGAACAAAGCTAAAAAGATAAGAGACTGTAATAAACACTTGTGCAAAAAAAAAGCCATAAATTCTAAGGTACAACCTGCCATAGATAAAACACTTCACATTGTGGGAAAATAAGTAGAGGTGGTGAGGGAGGATAAATACATTAGCGTTTAGCTGGATAACACACTTGGATAGTGACAAAACTGTGATTCCATCTATAAGACGGAAAAGAGCAAACATGCTTTGTAAGGGAGCTAAGGTCCTTCGGCATTTGCAGCAATATTCAGAATATCCTCTGTAAATCTGTTATAGAGAGGGTTATCTCCTCTGCCACCATCTGCTGGGGTAACAGCATGAGAGCAAATTTATTAAAAAAGCTAAACAATTATAATACATTCAATGCCTACCTCACTGGCAAATGTTATTTAATCAAGTAATACAGATTGTGTAATGACTCAGGACAGAGGAACCCAGTTTACAGGCAAGACAGACAGTGGGATACATTAAAAAGCGTTTATTAATTGCTGGCGGATCTGAGTAGCAATGGCTTGGGCGTCTGAAGCAGGAAACTCTGGAGAGAAAGACAGGTTAATGACCACGATAATCTGACGCGTGAGTCACTAACCCATCTTCCCGACTGTGGTTCGGGAAGACAGAAGCAGACATACAGAAAGAAGCAGAGATAAAAAAGGGCAACTGTTAACCAGCTCCACAAGCGACCTCGTCCAGGCCAACACACAGCCAGGCAGACAAGTTCCGAGACAGCTCCCATGACAGAGAATGAAAGAGAGCACATACAGTTAGTCACAGTCAGAGAAACAGGACTACACTGAAAAAACAGTCCAGGCTACCAGTTCTATAAACAAAGGTGTTGATGGAAGCAGCACAGCTGATATTTCTCTCCAGGATGGAGTCACAGCCAAACAGGAACAGACGAGGTGAAGCTACTATGAGAAAAAGCAAAGGGAACAGAACGTTAGAGATTGAACAGATTCTGCAGATTGGGAGATAGAATGATGGAAAGGGTCCCTATTTCCTTCAGCAGTCTAAGTCAATAGCACTATAAATATAGAGATAGCTCAGGATAACCTGGGCCACTCTAACTATAAGCTTTATCAAAAAGGAAAGGACAAGGTATCTTCCCCACAGACTATAGCTAGTAGTTGGTTCCACAGGAGAGGAGCCTGATAACTAAAATATCTGCCTCCCATTCTACTTTTAGAAAACCTGCTTTAGCTTGTAAGCTAGGCTTAGTTGGCCAAGCCTGGCTTATTTTGTCATTTGGAACCAGCAAGTTTCATGAAATGCCCCTCTGTTATGAAAAGAGCTGATAGACACAATAAACAATAATAATAATAAATGTCTATCTTAGTGAAAAGCAAAAACAAGAACCCCAAAATTATTGCATCAAAGAGCAGAGACATTTAAAAGGAGAATTGAGATACATCTCTTAACAATTATTGAACTTAATGGGAAAGTGGAGGATGCTAGGAAAATTATTAACGGTATGTATGGTATAGGCAGATGATTGGTATTCAGTATGTTGGTTGTCAATTATTTCATGCTATAAGTTAAATGCATAAAACCTCGGTATTGTAGGTAATCTTTTCCCAGTATTGCCACACCATAGCAGTGGGACTGGTTGTGATACTGGAACTGGTTATTTTATCCAATATCAGTCAGTGTTGTTTTGACAGCCATCTTAGATTTAGTCTTAGTCTTCAGGACGAAAACTGTTATTAGTTTAGTCACATTTTAGTCATTACAATATTTGAGTTTTAGTCGGTTTTAGTCGATTAAAACGTAAAAAGGTTTTGTTTAGTTTTAGGCAGTTTTATGTTGCAAAAAAGCTAACCTTTACAATTTCAAATAACAACCAGATTATTTAATAGACTGACAGCTCTACCCTAGATACTACAACTGCTCGGTATAGAATGCTGTCGTGCAGTTTATCGATATTGGGCAGAAAACTTTGATTTACAGAATTTAAATAAACTTTGTTATGAATTAATGCCCTAATTAATAAAAAAGTCTCTCACAAAAGTTGTGAAAATAGCAGATCTAGTTAAACACATCATGTTGGTTAATATATCAGACAGATAAGCTAACAAAATGAACAATAAAGGAATGGTTTTAGGTTTAATGGTTCTTCCTAATCTAATATGAATTATGCATTACACACAGATCAATAAAATCTTCATTACTCCAAAAAAAGCAAATAATAAAAACATTTTTCTTTCTATTTTAGCAATTTTGGCTTTTGGCGTATTTCTTCGATTTGT